CACACCCTTTAAGGCTCAAGGTAGAAGTAGGAATGGATAGATAATTAATCAAAGGGGTACGCACAGGATTGTACAATGGGAACACAGAAAAGGGACTTTGGATATAATTTTGAATGATTCAAGGTTTCCTACACAAGTATTTCATTATATTCTTCAATTGTTGCAGATCACTGCATAATTAAATTTTATGTATTTATTTTTTTATTTATTTAAAAAAATTTTTTATTTATTATTTTTGAGAGAGAAAGAGACAGACAGACAGAGAGCAAGCAGGGAAGGGGCAGAGAGAGAGGGAGACACAGAATCAGAAGCAGGCTCCAGGTTCTGAGCACTCAGGACAGAGCCCAATGCAGGGCTCGAAAACACAGACCATGTAATCATGACCTGAGCTGTAGTTGGCCGCCCAACCAAACTACTGAGCCACCCAGGTGCCCCAAATTTTTAAAAAATAAACTTTATTTTAGAGAGTGAGAGAGAGAGAGTGAGCTGGGAAGAGGGGCAGAGGGAGAGAGAGAATTTTAAGCAGGTTCCACGCTCAGCCCAATAGGGCTCCATCCCACTACCCTGGGATCTTGACCCGAGCCAAAATCAAGAGTCAGACACTCAACTAAATAAGCCACCCTGGTGCCCCAGGTAATTAAGTTTTAAACATTAAATTACTATAAAATAGTATATTCAAATAGCACAGCAATGAATAAAATAAAGAATCCTGATTTAATGAACATTAAAGAATTATTTTTTAGGCATCATGATGATGATGAAGCTACACTTTTAACAAAACATATTGAACATCTCTGACAGTGTATTATAAGTCTACCTTATTTTTTTTTTAAGAGCTGTATTCTGTTACATCAAAGTGCTTTACTTTTGGTTTTAAGAGACAGCAAGAGAATCTTTTTTTTTTTTAATATTTATTCATTTTTGAGAGACAGAGAATGAGTGGGGGAGGGGCAGGGAGAGGGAGACACAGAATCCCAAGCAGGCTCCAGGCTCTGAGCTGTCAGCACAGAGCCCAACGTAGGGCTCGAACCCATGAACTGTAAGATCATGACCTGATCTGAAGTCAGATGCTTAACCAACTAAGCCACCCAGGTACCCCAATGAGAGAGAGAATCTTAACCAGGCTCCATGCCTGATGTGGGGCTTGATCTCACGAGTGACCAGGAGATCATGACCTGAGCTGAAATCACGAATTGGATACTTAACCAACTGAGCTACCCAGAAACCCTTTTACCTTAGTTTTTTCACCAGTATTCTGTCGGCAGATATTAGGTTTCTTAGTTTTCTCTGTTACAAATAAGTTGGAAAAGTTTATATATCACTGTATATTTGGGCTAACATTAATTTGGAGCAAGTTATTTAATCTCTTTGTGGCTGATATCTATAAATCATTGAGAGAATTATCAAACTAATTTAATTAAACTCTCTTGCACAGAGCTAAAGAAATGTTCTCCTGAACTACTATGTTATATTTATTAATAAACTAATTATGTGATAAATCCTTTTAGTTTTCAGTAAATGAATAAAATAAAATAATGGAAAACATGCTGGTTGGAGACAGGTTCTTGTATTTAATTGTTCAATTTGCTTCTTAACAACTGAGTAGAAAAGTAACATAACCTCTTATCAAGTCTAAATAATAAAAATAAAGATCCTCTATTATTCTGCCACCTAGAACTAAGCACAGTCAACATTTTTGTAATATTCAGTCAGATTTTCTCATTTGGTACATACTTCATTTTGCCAAAAATTGGACATTAGTTTTATAATCTACCTTTTTCTTTCTTTCTGTATTACTACCTTTTATTTTTGTTATTGGTATGCTGTGAATAAAAACGTTTTTTGGATGGGAGGCTGTGAAATTTATTTCATATGACCATTAAAAAATGTTTGTTTATTTATTTTGGTGCGGGGGAGGGCAGAGTGAGAGAGAGAGAATCCCAAGCAGGGTCCACCCTCAACTCTGAGCCCCAGTCCAACTCGGGGCTTGATCTCATGACCATGAGATCATGACCTGAGCTGATATCAAGAGTCAGATGCCTAAATTACTGAGCCACCCAAGCGGCCCCTGTCCCCCACCCCCTTTTCCTTCCACAAAAAAGCACATCATCATGTTTGTTTGTTTATTTTTAAGTAATCTCTATACCCAATGTGGGGTTTGAACTCATCCAAAGATCAAGAGTTGCATGCTCTACTGACTGAGCCATTCAGGTGGCCCTACACCATCCTTTTTGATGGCTTTGTATTCTATACGTGGTTGTCCATAATTTATTTACTCAGTCTCTTTATTTATAGGAACTTAGGTTGTTTCCAATTTTTTTTGTAGTTATAAGCAATTTATCACAGAGTATCTTTATAAATTGTTGGAAACCTTTCCCATTATTTTATTAAAATTGATTCTAAGATGTAGAATAGCTGGGCAAAGTGTATCTTTAAAAAAACTTTTTTTAAATGTTTATTCGTTTTTGAGAGAAAGAGAGCTGGGGAGCGGCAGAGAGAGAGGCAGACATAGAATCCAAAGCCTGGATGTGAGGCTGGAACCCATGAACCTTGAGATCATGACCAGAGCCAAAGTCAGAAGCTTAACTGACTGAGCCACCCAGGCACCCCAGCGCAAAGTGTATCTTAAAGATTTTTTTTTTTTTAAATGAAAGCCAAACTATCTTCCAGAAATGCTGTATAGATTTTGATTCTTGATATGTTTAATGCAATTATGGTTATCTATTCCTTATATCCTCATCTAGGTTTTATTCTTTTAATGTCATTGCCAATCTAATAGGTGAAAAGTAGTATCTCATTGTTAGCTTTACTTTCATTTTAATGATTTCTAGTGAGGTAGAGTATCTTTCCTTTAAAAATTTTTTTTCTTAACATTTATTTATTTTTGAGAGAGAGAGACAGAGGGAGAGACACAGAGTGCAGGTGGGGAAGATGCAAAGAAAGGGGGAAACACAGAATCCTAAGTAGGCTCCAGGCTCTGAGCTGTCAGTACAGACCCAGACACAGAGCTCAATCCCATGAACCGTGACATCATGACCTGAGTCAAAGTCAGATGCTTAACCAACTGAACCCCCCAGGCGTCCCAGAACATATTTTCTTATAATTTCTGACACACACATTACCAACTTGTTTTTGTCCTTTGACTTTCTAAGAGTTAGTATAGTTATCTTTCATGATTTGTAAAAGCTCTTGATATGTAAATATAATATTATCAGATATTAAGGTAGTGACTATGTATGTACAATTAAATATTAAGCAGTTTGTCATAGATTACAATTGTTTCTCCATTTTATTTTTCAACTTTATGTCTTTTGCCATAGGACAGGCAATTTATGGGTGTTCTATTATCAATTTTTTCTGTTGTTTTTACTTATACTGAAGCGGTGTAGTGTAAAGAATATGGATTAAGACTTTAGCAAATTTTAGAGGTAGAGCCAAGCTGGTGGCGCTCAGCTTCCATGTACTGCAAGCTTAAACGTTACTTAACCTGAACCAGTTTTCCTCAACTGCAAAACGTGGCAAATAACACCCATTTCATAAGCTGGTGTAAAGACAAAGTGCCTGGCACAGATAAGGTATACAGCATGTGTTAATTGTCTTTTCTTTGCTCTCGGTAAGGTATTAATTGCCCAAAGTGTCTATTTCCCCGATGCAAACTAAACTAGAAGGTTGGGAGGTGAAATTTTTGTTGAATTTACATTCAAACATTCTTTCAGGGAGCTTTTAGAAGCCGTCCATTAAACTACAAATCCCATAAGGCATATAAAAGGACTATAAAGTTACTGTGTATGAAGGCTTTGTGGCTTGGGGGAGTGCGGAGAGCCAAGGACTTAATTACTGGAATTTCTCTGGTTGAGACACCTCCCTTAACATTTTCCCTTAAACACATGTGATTACTTTCATTCCTCTTAGAAAGCTAACTTCACAGGTTCCAAAGTAAGTCTCCTGTTACAAAGGGGGAAAGTATCGCAATTAGATAACTGTGAATACCATTAAATTCATTAAAAAAAAATTGTGTGGGGTGTGCCGGCCAGAGACAGTGTTGAAATAATTCTCACCTCATGTAGACTTAGCAGAAGGAAAAATGATTAGCACGATTACATCTAGTAGCCATTTTTACCCTTTAAGAATCTGAGCTTAGTACCCACCGAGTTAGTCCCCTTTCTTCAGCCACTGGACTCCGGTACAAATTGTTTATGTCTGACACACTCATATTTGCATTCCATGATGGATCCATTGCTTCAGGGCGCCCAGTTAGCCCTGTGCCTGCACCACCAGCGTTCCGCCCGCGCAGGGCTGTGTACAGGCAAGCATGTGATTTCCCTTCCGCCCAGGCCCGAGCGCGGTACCAGGCGAGGGGCGCGCGCCGCGGCTCCTCCGAGCGTCCAGCCCGGGAAGACGCCGTTGCGCGCGCCACTACAGCTCCTGCGGCCGCTTCCCGGCTCAGCCTTCTCCCCTCACCCGCTCGGTGGCCCCACCATCACAGCCTCCGGGGCGGCCCTGGGTGGGGGAGGGGCGGGAGGAGGGGCTCCTCTGGGAGCGGCGGGGAATTCCCCCTTCCACCGAACGTTCCCGATTGTTCACCGTCCTCACGTCAGCAGCAGGGGGTAATCCCCGACTCCAGCTGCTCTTGACGTCACTGCGCGGAGCCACCGCCCCCCACGCGCCCCTACCTCCGGGGCTTCCTCGACGCCCCGCCCCCAGACGTAGCCACGCCCCATTCCCCTCCCCCCAGCCGCCCCACGTAGAGGGCGGAGCTTCTTCGGCCGGGGCGTGAGCGGTTGCTTGGGCCAGAAGGTTCTCTGGTGGAGGCGCTCCTCCTGCTGCCCCGCCCAGTAGGTTCGTTCGCAGCGCTTCTTCCACACCCTTTCTCCCTCCTCCTTCTCCTCGCCCCGCCTTTTCCCTCCCTTCTCTTCAACCCGTCTAGTTCCTTCCCCGCCTCGCCACCTTCCACGATCTCGCGAGACTTGACCCAGAACATTGCGGATCGGGTCGGCGCCATTTTGGGACTGAGACTGGTTGTGGGGGAGGGAAAAGCGGCAAAAGGGGATTATTCAAAGTACCGAAAACCTTCTCCCGGGATCGAACGCAGCGGCACCCCCAGGCCAGGGGCACCTCTGGTGTGGCAGAAGGTAACACCGTCTTCCGTGCTCCGTGCTGGAGTCTGGGGGAGGAAGGGGGTGCCCGTGTCGGCGTTGGGGTTTGAGGGGTCGGGAGCGGCGTTGGCGGCGCGAGGTGTGAGGCTGCCCTCGGACGCGGTGTAGGGGGTGGAGGAGAGCAAGGAGGGAGACGGAAAGACGGCGCCGAGAGGCCTCTATATATTTACTGGGCCCCTGTGAGGCGGGGGTGGCGGTTGTGGCGAGGGGGTGGGTGGTTGAGGCTTGGTGGCTGGGGGGATGTTTGGCGGAGGCTCAGAACGGGTCCGACGCCCTCCGTGCTCGGTCTTCCTTCCTCCGGCCTCTCGCACACGCCCGCCTCCTTTGGCACTACTGCTCCTCTTAGAGAGCTGAGGGAGTCGAGGCCGAGTTGTGGCCTTCGGTTGTTTTCTTCAGTAGCGCGCCCGCTTTCCGCCTCTCCCGGGTCTTTGGCACTAGGTATGTACTGAGTCCAGTGCTACCATGTCCCCCCGAGTCCTGTGGGGCCTGAGGGGACCTATTCTGTTTTTGGAGAGGACCACTCTTAACGTGATTTACGAGAAGGGTTGGGTACCTACCACCCCCTCAGTGTTGGGAGAAACCTGTTTTCTTAATTCAAGGAAATGGGGACCGACACGTTTCTCCCACAGTTGCCCTCAGAAGCCAGGGAAGTCTCACCCTCAGGCGAGTTTAAGGAATGTTCATATCCCGTTTCTCACCCACCTACTTTCTACCCTTAATGGGGAAATGTGTCTTTTCTTTTAGACATTCTAATTTGGAGGGCGCGTCTTTCCTTTTACATTCCTTATTCTCTTAAATTGCATTTACTAATGCCCCATGGCACCACACCTGCCTGTTCGTTTTTCTTCGGTAGCGTGAATTGAAAATATGGAAGATCTTTTATAAGATTGTGTGGCAGTTTCATAGTTTTAATTTTTACTCCCAAAGTGTGGGGAAGGTTTGTTTATATAACCCCCCTGTATTATATCCGCACCCCCTTCCCAGTTGAAATCACTCCTTGTGTTCTGTAACATCATCTCCCACCTTTTCCTCTCTTATTCTAAAGTCTTTTTAATACATTAAAGTGTTTTTGGGCGCTTGCTTGGGCAGAGCCTTTTTTTTAGATCCCAGTAGAATTGGATAGAGGTGAATTTCTCTCTAGAAGTAGGCTTCTTCAAGATGGGGGTTAATTTTTTGCTCAAAATTAAAATTCAGTGTGTAATTTTTTTTTTTTTTTTTGTAACTTTTACAGGTGATTGAATTACCCATTTGTGAAGATCATCTTCTAGGTTTTGTGTTAAAAGGCCCCGGATATTTGAAGTGGCCATTTTGGGATTACAATATCTTTGGATAATTTTGCCCCAGAAGTTTATTAAAAGTGGCAAGAATCATCTCTGAAGTGAATTTATAGTAGTGAACAGTTCTGCAAGCTACTTAAAGAGACCCAGTCATTTCTTCAGTATTTTGGTTCAAACGGATTATATAACTGGTTAAATTATTTCAGCTGGTGGTATTTTTTTTTTGCCCCTTCCCCCCACCCCCACCCTTCTCCTGTAGTTGGTGTTCTTCAGCCAAAACTGTAAGATATGTTTGATTTGTGTACTAAGTAGTTTCGGCAGTTTCAAATTACTGTTTAAGTACTGCTGAAGTTTCATGGCATTTTATTTTTACCTTTATTAAAAGTTTTAGGAATTTTTGACCTCAGCTATTTTCATGTCACAATGGGACAGCTTTTCTAAATGAAGACGTTGAAAGAATACAGAGTTTTTTTCCTTTTATCTTTTATTTACGTGGAAATTTAAGATGTTGCAGTTTTCCAGCAGCATGGTAGTATTGAGATAGCTATGTGTCTCTCTTTGTGTTGATGTTTAGGAATGTTCTTCAGATGTGAAATTTTCTTTTTGTTTTTGCTTTTTGGCTCATAAATTGGATATTTCATCTGGAGTGGATAAGTACAACAGTGACAAGTACATGGAATAATAAAGAAGACTTTAAAATCTTAAATCCAAGGAACTTGGCTAATTCTGGAGATAGCCGTATGAAAACTTTAAGACAGAAGTATGGGTAGCTGACTTGAAGTAACTCTATGTCAAATAGTCATAGGTTAAGTATCTTCAAAGAACTTGGATATTATTTCAGAGGATACAAAATAAAAAAACAAACTGGAAAACATAAAGATTACAGAGAAAAACCCAACACCTTCCTGTGCAGTCCTGTTGGAATTTGTAAGTATTAAATGGTGAGCAAATCAAGAGTTCATTTGTAAATTAATGAGTCAAGTTTATCCTATGTTGGAAGACTTTCTGTTTCTTGGAATAATACTGCTTGGCTTAGTTTCCTGGACAGTCTGTAAAGTACTGTTAAGTAAATTGAAATGAAGAAAGAGTTAAGATTTAAGAATATTTTGGATCAAACAGTCCACATTTTACATTTTTGTGCTCCGAAAGTAAAAAAAAAAAAAAAAAAAACCAAAAATCCTTATGATCAGTATTCATCTTAATTTTTATGGATTCATAGATTGTTAAAAAGGCGGGAAAATTGTTTCATGAGTCTTTCCAGCCAGTTTATTTTTTTAAATTTTTTTTAATCTTTATTTATTTTTGAGAGAGAGAGAGAGGGAGACAGAATCTGAAGCAGGTTCCAGGCTCTGAGCTGTCACCACAGAGCCCGACTTGGGGCTCAAACCAGTGAACCATGAGATCATGACCTGAGCTGAAGTTGGATGCTTAACCAACTGAGCCACCCAGGCACCCCCAGTTTACTTTCTTAGTGTGAGTTTAGACTGCTTTCTAAAGGCAATTTTGTGTTACAGTTTAGTTAGGTAGTTTAAATTATAACATAGGGCTTGGTTTTTAAAGCTGATATTTGATAATCGTTCATAATTCTTTTAAATAACTGATTTCCTTTTCGGAAGTTTATGCTGGCTTATGTTTATAAACAAAGCTTTTTTAAAAAATTGGAAATATTGCTATAATAGAGATCTTCTGACAAATGAGAATTCTGATTTAATAATTGTTATATTTTTCAGAATTGAATAATAGTACTTTGTTACCGTATAATTTCTCAGTCTATTCTAGGCATAGGAGTGTCTTTAAAAATTTATTAAAATACATTTTTTAGATAGTTACTAGTGAATATAATAAAACTAGAGTTTATTTCATTTAATTACTTTTCTGAGATAAAAGATTGTAATTTTGAACGTTTTGCCAAGATGGCCTTACAACTTGTCAGTACTTCAGTTATTTCAAAACTTTTTTGCTTTGCTCTTGAATCTTTTTATCTCACTTAGAGCAGAAGAGGTAGTAGAGTTCAAAAGAATGGAAGTATCGAAATATAGCACTTATTTTCTGATCTAAAATTGAGATTAGAGTTCATTAATTTTGTTAAAATAGACTGGGTTAGTTGTGTTTTCTCCGTCAGTGCTATGTGGTACTTTTAATTGAGCTTCCACCTTGATTTATGTAAAAAAAGTGGCAAGACCATTCTCCACACCTTTTCACTTCAGATTGCCTGCTATTTTATTCATTTTTCAATTTAATGACTTTTCAAGTAATTTGTCTAAGAACATATATCTTAAATGGGATTAAAGAGTTGAACTGCGGGGCGTCTGGATGGCTCAGTTGGGTAAGTGGCTGACTTCAGCACAGGTTGAGATCTCATAGTTCTGGGGTTCAGGCCCCGCATCGGGCTCTGTGCTGACAGCTCAGAGCCTGGAGCCTGCTTCGGATTCTGTACCTCTCTCTCTGTCTCCCTCTCAAAACTACATAAACATTAAAAAAAAAATGTTGAACTGGAAGGGCACTTGGGATGCTCAGTCGGTTAGCACCTCACTCTTGATTTTGGCTCAGGTCATGATCTTCGGGTTTGTGGGATTGAGCCCCAGTGTGGTTCTTTGCTGACAGCACAGAGCCTGCTTGGGATTCTCTTCTGTCTCTCTGCCCCTCTCCTGCTTGCACGCGGCCTTTCTCTCTTTCAAAATAAAATAAACCTTTAAAAAAAAAAAAGTTGAACTGGTAATTATTTTTTTTTCGTGGAAAAGAACAACATTATTTGTGATTATCTTCCTTTGAATTATTCCTATGGTTGTTACCTGAAAGCCTTGGTGTCAGGATAAAACTAACTCCAGAGTCAGGGTTTTTAACAATTAACTTTAATCTTTGAATGGTCTGACGTTGGTGAACTTTGCTTACAGCAGTTGTTCAAGGACATATTTACTTACTTGAACGTCTTGATAAATATTTTATTATATTCTTGGCATTGAGTAGATAGCAATACTAATTGGAACAATTGCTGGGCTGCTCCCCCTACCCTCTTTTGAGCCTCTTTTTCTCCCCTATTCTATTGTTGTTTTTTTTTTTTTTTTAAATCTGTGCCTAGACTATAGACATAAGAAATAATGTAGTAATACTTATAGATGATGATAGTGTCACATATTCTGTATAATAAACATATTTACCTAGTATACCTTAACCTTAGAATAATTCTGTGAAGAAAGTGCTGTTACAGTGGTATAGATAAGAAAATTAAGATTTAGAAAGATTGAAACTTGGAGAAAGTCACTTGGTTAGGACCAAAGTTACGTAGGAGTCTGGGCCAAATCTCTCAGGTCTGACTGGAGGGCTCCACACTTTCAGTCACTGTGCTACACTATAAATGCTAATTTGAGCATTATCCATGATATTTTTGTTTCTTCTCTTATACTGCTTCTCTTTGGTTAATAATGACTACTAGTGGCATTTGGAATTAAGCTAAAAGGTAGTAGAGAAAATATTGTTCGTATTGCTGTTTGTTAGTAACTGGTAAAATTTTGGTTAGTCAAAAATTAAAATGTGGTTTCAGGTTTTGTTCATGTCTTACACACCCATAGCCTCTTTGTACAGGTATGAAGCTAAATTCATTTTAGCTTTGTTGTACTTTTTCTCTGGTTTTGAACTGAGATTAGTCCATGAATTTTTGTGCTTAAAGTTCCTGACGCTTGAGAATTGATGAAGGGAAGAATAGTAGGGAAATAAAAGGAATGGAAAATAATAGGGGAAGAACAAGAGTGAGCAGAAGAAAGAAAAAAATGAAATTTAGAGAGTTACAGAGGAATAAAGATGGGAACCTCTAGTCTGAAAGTGAAATTAGCATTTGAGGATAGAACCTAAACTCCAGGCCAGGGGCCCCTGGGTGGCTTAGTTGGTTGAGGGTCCCCCTCTTAATTTCTCCTTAGGTTATGATCCCAGGGTGGGTCATGGGATTGAGCCCTGTGTTGGGCTCAGTGCTGAGTGTTGGAGTGGGCTTGGGATTCTCTCTCTGTCCCCTTCTGCCGCTCTCCCTCACGCTCTCTTTAAAAGAAAAAACAAAACCAGTAACATAAACCCAAGCAGGATCATCTAATTGTCTTTGACCTAACCACCTTTTCTGTTTAATTTTTTACAAAAACGTTAAGGTAACCATTTAGATCCAGGTAAGGGTAGTGATGTAGAAAAAGAGAAATGGCTGGGAGTTAAAAGAGATTTTGGGTTTAGGGATTGGAAAATTTAGAAAAGAGCCTATGTGACCTTGTATATTTACCTAATCTCTTTGGTGTTAGTGTTTTCATAAAACTGATGACAATAATATATGAAGGCTTTTGTTAATGGAGAAGCATAATCTATAAAGTTTTATTCTAATTCCAATATTTTAAGATTCTGAGTGTTACATGTCAAATCAGTATTTGTCATAGTCTGAAGTTATTTCTTCTTTCAAGTTTATTTGTTTATTTTGAGAGAGGGAGAGAATGCCAGCAGGGGAGGGCCAAGAGAGAGTGGGAGAGAATCCCAAGCCAGTTGCATACGTAGAGGGTCTCTCTCTATCCTACAACCCAGGAGCTGAGCTGACATCAAGAGTTGGGTGCTTAACCCACTGAGCCACTCAGGTGCCCCTGCAGTTTCATTTATTATCCTAGCTTGGCCTTTGAATAAGAAGGTAACCGTAGTATCTTATCTCTTTGCCTTTTAGTTCCATTTTCTTTTTTCCCCCGTAGTCTCTCCATGGGCAGAAAAGTCTACCTAAAGTAGGGCTCTTTGTTTTGTTATCTCACTAGCCTTTAAGGTGATGGATTTGACATATTTAGGAAGAGCAGGCTGGAAAGAGATTTGTTCACTGTCCCCTTCTCCCCTTTTGTAAATGTTTTATATATCAGGATTTCCTAAAAATTTTTTTGGGTGGGGGGGGGGCAACTACATAAGTGGGTGTGGGAGACTGTGGTTTAGAACTGTCTAAAATTGATTATTTTGGGGGTGCTTAAATATTTTTTCTCAGGAGCGGGTCCATTGCTTTGAGCAGGACTCTCATTAGAAATGGAATGTTAGAATTACTGATAAACCTTTTGTGGTTTGATTTTCAGTTTTACCTGCTTGCTTTTCTCCTTTTTGTTAGCTGCTACACCCAGCAGAATAGTTAGAGGCTTTTGCTCTATGTCTTTTCAAGTAATTACTAGTTTCTGCATCTTTTTATACAAGGTATCCCATTCTTTTTCTTGTTCTTGAGTCATCTTTGTGTTCACAGCTTTGGTGAGTGTAGTGTTTTGGTGTTTTATTTTCTGCCCTTTAATTCAGTGTTTTTCAGGGGCGCCTGGGTGGCTCGGTTGGTTAAGCGTCTGACTTCGGCTCAGGGTCCGTGAGTTCGAGCCCCGCTTCGGGCTCTGTGCTGACCGCTCAGAGCCTGGAGCCTGTTTCAGATTCTGTGTCTCCCCTCTCTCTCTGCCCCTCCCCTGTTCACGCTCTGTCTCTCTCTGTCTCAAAAATAAATAAACGTTAAAAAAAAAAATAAAAAAAAAATAAAAGTTTTTTTCAGGCTTATTTTTTAGCAAGAAAGTTTTAAAATTGTAGTTAAATACGTTGTGTTTCCTTTGAAACTCAGAACTTGCAAATACCCTTTAAGAAATTCTTAAACTGAAAATTGTCAGAAAGTTATCTATACATATACATATTAGTAAAAGAAATTAGTTGGTTTTTCAGTGAATGTAAATATTTTAATGAAGGAGCTTTAAAAAATAAAAATTGTTACTATCTCACATGATTTCTGTGGGTGAGAAATTTGGCAACAGTTGAGCTGAGTGATTCTGACTCCCTCTAGGTCCAAATCTAAAATCTACATCAATATGGTAACCAGGGCTGCAGTTATTTGAAGGCTTGACTGGGGCTCAATGATCTTTTTCCAAGATGGTGTACTCATTGGCCTGGCAGGTTGATGCTGGCTCTTACCTGGAGGACT